CAGAGAACCACTTCTGGCCAGCAGGAAGAAAACAGGAGGGATGTGTGTGTGGGAAGAGACTTGGAAGACTAAGGGGAGATTTTTAAGACTTGAAGCACCCCAAAAATGCAACAGCTCCTCTCTATCACCTCTTGATTTCCCAAGAAAATGACACCAGACACACAAACTGCAGTTGCCCTTACTTAAAATCCTTTGTCTACATAAATCCCTGGCCTTGAGAGACTCCAGAGCCTAAGCCCTAAACTATTACTCATCACATAAGCAGGTGCCAATCAATGATTCTCCATAAATCAAGGAGCAGAGGCTGCAAGCAAGATGCAGGATTTCTGACATTTCCAGCCTTTTTCATGCAGGCTGGCATGTTTAAAATTAAACATGTTTAAAATTAATATCAGCACTGCTTGAGCACCTCAAAACTCAGACCTAGGAGAACACAGGGAAATAAATCTCATTTCCTAATCATTTTTATTACTGTCTTCCTGCAACTCCTTAACTTTTTAAAGATGCCTTTGATCTTGCAATTACTCACTACAGTTTGATTGTTCCCACAGCACAGGTTTTCTGCAAATAATACACACTGACAAATTTTATTCTCCACTGGAGCCTGAAATTCAGAATTAAACTTAATAGAAATAAATTTATTTTTTATTAGTTATTTTAGTACCAAGATAGATTATTTCCAAATGACACCCCCTCCTAATGGCTTTGGAAAGCAAAGCAGCTGTTGAATTCCTTTTGGGCCCGTATCAATCTATTCTTGTTACTAACAGTGTTAACTTAAATTATGCGTCAGTGAGGAAGGTGACAATCTGTTTCCTTTCTTTCCCTGGGCCCTCCCCACCTTAGAATGGAGAAGAGTATTTTGCATTCAAGGATTTGCTCAGGCACAGTTGCCAGTGGCAACAACCAAGCCTGAGACTGTAAATAAAGCGACTTGGAGGTGAGTTAGAACAAAAATAGTACAAGGTATCCCATTTTTCTCTGCTTCTTTACAGCTGTTCCATAAAACCACAAATTGAAAAACAAGCAGCAGTTTTGGAACTGCACAGAAGAGTTCAACAATAAGATTTGTGCTGGTTTGTTTGGTGGGGTTTTTGGCAGCTGTGGAAGGGCCCCAGGGGGGCTCCTGTAAGAAGCTGAGAAGCTCCCCCTGCTCCAAACCAGCCAAGGAGCCACTAGAAGGATAATAGTTGAAAAGAAAACATCCTATGTTAATATCCACATATCAACATTTTTTTTCCAAAATTATTTTTCCAAAGCAAGAAAAATACCTTCTCTTATCTCTGGAAGGAAGGAGGTCTACAGTTCTGGGAGCTTTCACAAAGATTCAGAAGAGATAAAACACCAGCCCAGCTTACTCTGGTGTAAATTCCTTAGCAAGCTGTCTGTCCCACTGAAAACCACAGTGAAAATACAGAAGGCAAAGCCAGCTCACCCACCTCAACAAGATTTGTTCTTACCTTTCTCAAAAGGCAAAGCCCATGTGATAAAGCACAGGAGATATCCCAACTGAGCTCCACCTGGAGCTGCTCTATGCCTCTTGCCTAGATTGCCATGGTGGAGCTGTGAGTTACAGCATGACTGGCTGCAACCTGCAGTGCCTTCAGTGACTATTCCACCACCCTCTGCAATACATGCTTGGGTTTCCACCCCCCCAAAAGCATCCAGGTAACCCTAGAGAGAAAATGTGTTGGAGCAAGGCAATTGGGCAACACTTCTGAGGAGAAGACACAGTGCCTGGTCTCACCCACTGGCACAGCCTCACCTTCTTGTGAGCTATCAGGAGGCAGTTGGAGTGCTCGTGCTCACAGGCAATCTCGTAGTCAGGGAGGAGGTCAGCCAGCTCCTGGACAAAGTGCACCACCTCCTCGTGCCAGGGGACGTTGGCCATGGTGAGGTTGCTGGCCAAGCTCTCGCCGCAGTACGTCACGCCCTGAGAAGAAACATGGAGCAGTCACCATCAGCTTCACCTTTCACAAGTCAAGCAGTGCTGGCACATCTGCCTCAGCAAACCCTGCAGAAGGTCTGGTTTGGCTCCCCTTCACATTGTATCTTATGGAAGGCAACACATTTGGAGATGGCATCAAAAGTCAGTATCTCCCTCAGGGACGCATCACCAAACCCCTGTGCCCAGGCCAGCCCACCAGTAGAACACAGGTTAGTCTTTATCCTGGAAGGTACCTTGAAAAACTTTCAAGGGGAGGATGTTCATCCTCCTGAAATAACAAGAGACCTTCAAGGTCATGTTGTTTTGAAACATGACTTGCCTGGAAGAAAATCTCACAACTAACCCATGCAACAAGTCAGTGTGACACTCCCAGAGATGACTGTCCCACGTGCCACAGAGGTGAGGACCTCTTCCCTTCCAAGCCAAGGCTGCCATTTCTGCCACCATCCTCTAGTATCCACACAAATCCTGTTCCACTTGTTCCATCCTCCATCCCCTCTCTGGCTTTGTCTGGGCTGCCCCTGCTTCCAGCTCTTCAATTTAATTATGAGAGAATTAAACCCACCTATTTTAGCTGTAGAAAATTGTAACTGCCCAGATCAAGACCATTTTGGCAATAGAGATGAAGAGAGAGCCCCTGCTCTCCAAATCCCATTTTCTGTCTTTCCCATGGTGCCCATGCAATGAACTTGGGGCTCTATGTACATGGACATTTGTTTTACTCAAAACCATCCAGTTTTATTCACCTGATTTTTTCAACCTTGAGATCTCAGGGTTCTTCCCAATTACTGGTCATTTTAGAGAAAAATTTAAATAGGCCCAGTTTGGATGTAAGAAACAGGCATTTTTAAAGCATTATGATCCACGTGCAGATGGGCTGGACAGAGTCCCACAGGCAGTGGTGCCCAGACCAAGCACTGGCAGAGATGTGGCTCATTAGGAGGAACGTGGAGATGCCAACACTGGCAGGGTAGCACCAGCTCAAGCCCAGAGAAACAGCAGGTTTCTTTTAAACACCTTTCTTTCCAAAGAAAAAGTGTGGGGGGAAAAATAGCTACAAGTGTGCAAATCATCCTTCTCTGCGTTCACAAAGTGATTCTTGAGAGCCCAAAGAGCAAAATCACTTCAAAAAATTTAACAGCAAAGTGGAGCAAAGCAGAGGATGTCTGTGAACCTTGAGGTCTCCTGAAGACAAGTGCTAATTTTAGGTTCAAACCAGAGGGATGGAATCAGACTTTAAAGGTGAGTTTGCTCTGTGCATTCCCTTCTCTAAGACCTTTGCTAAACCAGAAGCAACTCCATGGGGATGAAAGCATCTTCACTGGAGGCAACAACTGAGTTCCCCCAGAAAAAAGAGGGCTTTACTTCTGGCCCATCTGGCTCATCTGTTTTTTTTCTGCAGTAGCCAAACACCTAACAATCCTTAACAAAGCCAGCAAGTGCACACCTGGGAGGGACATGCTCTTACCCCACAGGGGCAGGTTGGGGGACAAAGCACAGGTGGCCACCCTGGACAGCATCATGGCACTGCCAAAATCTCATCTTCCTAACCCAGTCTGCTTCAGCTTCAATCTGTGCCTCTCCAGAGCAGCACTTCTCCTCCAGCTCCCAGTTAGGATGAGACTTACAAAGCTGTAGGAGAACATCAAGGCTAGAGGAAGGAACTGTTCTTTGCTGTCCATTCACTCCTCGGGGGGCAGAAGGACTCCAGTTGCTCAGCCATGAGCTCACAGTTTAGAGGAACCACAGCACAGACCACAACAGCTGGTTTACTCCTGCCCCTGCTGCCACCTCCAGCAAGGTTCCACCAAGACCCTCAATCCTTATGTGAAAGAACACGAAACCTCACGTGGCCAAGTGCTTCCAGAAACCAGTTGGAGAACTCTGGCCAACCTCCTCCATCCAGCTACAGAAACTCTAGTCACTAGTTTCCAAGATTCCTCTGCATTTCTCTGGCTTGGTGGCAGCAGCATGTTCTGCTCACTGAGTGCCTGCCAGGGAAGCTGATAGAATTTCAAACAAGATCTTGAGTGTGCTCCTCCTTGCTTTCTCCCCACAGACCTCACCTACAGGAGAAGGCAGCTACAGCCACTGCTGGGCACTCAGCACTTTGGACCTTTGTTAAAAAACCAGTAAGCAGAGACTGGGAGTACTTGGCCAAACTGCTCAATGAGCCCCTGGATTCAAGGCCCATGAGCTGGATACAAAAATAACACTGGCACAGGAAAGCCCGTGCAAACACCATCAGTAAACAGAGATTATTTTCCAGGGCTGAGTACACAAGCAAACACCCAAAAATATTAAGGTCTTTGCAAAAACACCCTCCAGCTCATCTCACTATTATTCCTTTCTTTTGCTTAAATTCATTCAATAAATACTGAGAAGTGTTTGGAAAAAAAAGTCCATCTCTGCCTGCATCTCCCACACATGCAGAGAGAGGGTGAAAATTCAGGCGTAAGCTGGTGCCCTAGAAACTCTTCCTGCTTGCTGAAGAGTAGAATTGACTTGATGACATTAAAAAGCAGCTTGTGCTGCTTTGGTCAAAGGCCACCAGAACAATCAAGGAATTTCTCTAATCCTCCCACTCCAGGAGGTGCTTTGTGTGACACTGAGAGCTGAAGCAATCACCCCAGAGGGGACGTTGGCAGGAGGTGGCAAGGGACTTTTTAAGAAGATTGATGTGTGCTGGTGGCAGCTCTGTCACCCCATGTCACCTGCCAGCTGAAAGGCCAGGGCCATCGCTCACACACCCAACACCCCAGCACCATCAGCCCTGGCACAAGGAAAGGTCATGCTGTGCTGGGGTGCTGTGTCTGCACAAAGCCAGGTCGTGGGGTGGGGAGCACCCAGTGCATGCTGGCTTGTGGGATGAGCACCATGAGCATCCTCAGGCAGGGCATGGAGAGAAGCAACCCACCACACATGGGTCTGCAGAGCTCTGTGGCTCACTAGTGTGAGTGGGCAGGAGAACCAGTCTTTGAGGAAACAGCTTTTCTGGTCACTTGCTGGAAGGACACTCAGTAGCTGCTATAGAAGTGGCACCATTCAGAAGACACCATCATATCACAGACTCGTATCCCAGACTGGTTTGGTTTGGAAGGGACCCTAAATATCCTCCAGTCCCAAACCCCTGCATGGGCAGGGACACCTCCCACCAGCCCAGGCTGCTCCAAGCCCCATCCAACCTGCCCTTCAACACTGCCAGGGATGGGGCAGCCACAGCTTCCCTGGGCAACCTGGGCCAGGCTCTCACCACCCTCACAGGAAAGAATTTCCTCCTCATGTCTAATCAGATTTCACAGTTTTAAGTCAGGACAAATACCAGGTCATTGCACCAGCTCCTGTCCCAACCACCCAATATAGCAAATGGACCAAAGCAGAGAGAGGCACATGGTCCTGTTGCCCTGTACAAAGCCAAGACACAAGCACTGCAGGTTTGGATGATGTACTTGTCACAGAGGCTGAGGTCCTCTGGGTTACTGCAATGCCCATGTAGAGCAGCCAGCTCCACACCTTGCATTCATCACTGCTCAGTTACTGCAGCCCTCAGCTTCCACACCCTGCTCCACCCAACTTCAGCCTCAGCATTTTGAGATCAGCTGCTCCTAGTTTGGGGATCTGATCACTTGAACCTCCTGAAGTACTGATTTCATCTTAGCCATGACCTCAATTTCACTACTGCCTTGATCCATCTTTAATTACTTTAGTAAAATCCCCATAAATGAGCTCAGCAGTCTGTGGCTTGCTGAGATGTATCTTTGCTTATTTATTTCTTTCCAGATAAAAGGCTCATCCAAGTGGGTTAACCTGTGGAACCACCACACAGCTCACAAACCCACTGGCACCCAAAAAACGACAACTCCCAAGAAAAACTTGGCTTTTTTTCCAGACAAAATCCCAGGTCCTCTGTACTTCTCCAAGAGATTTCATCACCCTTGCTCTTCAGCTGAGTTATTTTATTCCAGTCACAAAACCCCTTTGAGCACAGGTCTCTAAAGCAGAGCACACACAATTTTATGGATGATTGTTTTGTGTCCTCGTGTTTTTCCACAGTGAAAGATATTTCTGCTTCTTTGAATGGGCATTTGCATCCACAGTGCTGCTGGCACCTGGTCCCAGCTTATGCTGCACCCCCAAGACCTAATTCAGCTACATTGAAGTTGAACACGTCACATCCAGCAACAAACAGAGACAGATCCTTTGCAAACACTTAAAAATTAGAACAAGGTGAACTACAACAGGGCTCCAAAAGAAACAGACTCCTGCTAATTAGAAACTGTACAAGGTTTGGAAGCAATTACTTTCTTGCTGGTAAATTTATGAGGGAGCTCCTCTATTAATCTGCCCAAGCAAAGGACATTAGAGCTGTGCTCCATAACTCAAAAGCCAGTGTGGAAACAAGTTGACTGTGCACAACCACAGACAAGTCGGGGGAGTGTTAAGCAAGGAAGTACATTAATTTTTTTTAGCCCAGTTCTGAAAGTCTGAATAAGATTTTAAATGTTCTTATATTAGAGCAGCCAGCCACGCAAATAATAGGATCTATATCTCCTGAGCTCAGCTGTATAGATGCAGCTCCATATAGCAATATTTTCCCCTCATTCATTATACAGATTATAATTTGAGCAGCATGAAAAATGTCTGCCTACAGAGGGGGAAAATTCTGAGGAAGCTACGACATGACTCATTCCTTTAATAAACTTCAAAGATCTCTTTTACAAGCAAAGCAAGCACAGAGGCAAATGGAATAACTTAGTGCTGGGATGGCTGATTAATTCACAAGCACAAATCAATGAGCAGCAGCTCAGCAGCACAGAGAATGGAAGCACATCAGCTTTCAACTGCCCCAACTTCTTAAAACTTGAATTAATTACCAGGGCTGATACCACTTGAAAACTGTGAACAGTTGATTAGGGCGGTCCTGTTGTATTTTGCAGTAATAGATGAAGGCAGTTATTAAGACAGCAAGCTTTTCAAAAGGAAAC